TTTGTAATATATTGGGCCGGCCATATTTGCTTGACGTTCCGAGGAGACGAGTCGGCCAGGGGGTGAGTCGGTTAGGGGGCGAGTCAGTCAAGGGGCGAGTCGGCCAGGAGGCGAGTTGGTAAGAGGCGAGTTGGTCAGGGAGCGAGTAGAAAGGGGCGAGTCGGTAAGGGGCGAGTCGGTCAGGGGGCGAGTTGACCTGACACCCATACAGTCGCTAGGACAGGTCCTTTATTTCGCCACTTGCTGTAAAAAGCTTGAATACAAAATGAGGTACAATCATGGAAGTAGGAAATTTCTAATCAGATGATAAATTAGGCCTAACGTTACATGTAGGCTATGAAATGGGGTGCCTGGGTGCCATGGACATTATGCGATGGAATAAGGGGTTGGGAAAAAGGATTTTAATACAGCAGGGGCGGGACTTTTGGAAGCAAAACAAATGACCCCTCTTCCACCCCTCTTTCCATGCTTACATGCAAGTCTCCTCTCCTCTTTTTCCCTCCTCCCAGACTGGGCCTTGAACCTCTTTTACATGTACATGTAGGCTTACTGCTGTACGTCTTGATTTTCAGCACAGCAGTCTGCACTGCTCCACCAACGTGACCAACACAAGCCAGTGGTTGGCAGAATAGGCCAATTTGTTGTACAATGTACTTGTCTATCAATGCAATAGGAATATGCATGTAAAGGGTAAAAGTAGATAGTTAAATAAAAAGTTTTGCAGAATATCTGTGTTCAATCTTAAAAGGTAGTCAAAGTGAAGTTGAGTACTTCTGTGTAGGTTTCACCAGCGTTTCAGTCTTGACATAATTCTAGAAAAACAAAACAAAATTACTCATCTGTAACCAACACCATCCCAAGCACAGTATCAGTCCTTTAACCCTAACTGCCCAAAACCTGCCACACTCAAACAGCAGGTTTTTTAAATCATGAGAATTTAACAGCCCCTGAGTGCGCGCAGCTGCCACCGTGCTGTGGCAGGCTGTACATGTAGCTATGCGTCGGCACTGAACCCTAACTGCTCTCTAAACATGTACATGTAACTTGTCAGAAAAGAACTGAGATTTCAAGACACTTCACATTGAATGTTATCGTTCTTAAATAAAATGTGTTTCATTTATTTTTTTTTGGGGGGGGGATTCAGCAGCATCTTCCCCATCACCATGTCTGTAGAGCAGCAGCATCAACCACACCCCCTGTTAAGGAGGAACCTCAAGAAACCACAGACTTGATGTCAGCCACGATTGCAGCTGCTCAAGACAGACGAACAGCCTACGGTGAGATCTCGGATGCAATCTGATTTTGTTACTCAGCTGAGTTTCAGTCATATAAGTAAACTCGGACTCTGCAGTTCTACAAATGGCCATTTTTATCATGCGGTCAAGGTCGGGGGATAGTAGAGACCTAGGATGTTTGTCACATTGTCTGCAGTGAAATGAACTTGTGCAGCGTTTGTNACTCGAAACCGGCATGGCTAGTGCCGGCACTAACGTGCATGACGTGTCGAATGCCTGGCATGTCCAGGCTCGACGTTCCAATAGTGGCATTCGATTCCATGCCATCTGACCATGGAATGGTTCAGTTGTCTGAGATTTCCTCCCACCTCTAAAAAAAGTGAATGTCCTTCACCGTCATGACAGTACATACAGTCGCTACGACCAGACGACAGGTCCTTTATTTCGCCACTAGCTGTAAAAAGCTTGAATACAAAATGATGTGCAATCACGAAGTAGGAAATTTCTAATCAGAAAATAAATTAGGCCTAACGCTACATCATGGAGGTAGAATCACATGTAGGCTATGAAATGGGGTGCCTGGGTGCCATGGACATTATACGATGGAATAAGGGGTTGGGAAAAAAGGATTTCAAAACAGCAGGGGCGGGACTTTTGGAAGCAAAACAAATGACCCCTCTTTCACCCCTTTTACCATGCTTACATGCAAGTCTCCTCTCCTCTTTTCCTCCTCCCAGCCCCGCACTGCCCTTGACTTTCTCACCAGCTCTCTTTCACAAGGATTCTTTCTCCCAGGCTGGGCCTTGAACCTCTTTTACATGTACATGTAGGCTTACTGCTGTACGTCTTGATTTTCAGCACAGCAGTCTGCACTGCTCCACCAACATGACCAACACAAGCCAGTGGTTGGCAGAATAGGCCAATTTGTTGTACACTGTACTTGTCTATTAATGCAACAGGAATATGCATGTAAAGGGTAAAAGTAGATAGTTAAATAAAAAGTCTTGCAGAATCTTTGTGTTCAATCTTGAAAGGTAGTCAAAGTGAAGTTGAGTACTTCTGTGTAGGTTTCACCAGCGTTTCAGTCTTGACATAATTCTAGAAAAACAAAACAAAATTACTCATTCGTAACCAACACAATTCCAAGCACAGCATCGGTCCTTTAATTCATGAGAATTTAACGGCCCCTGAGTGCGCGCAGCTGCCATCATGCTGTGGCAGGCTGTACATGAAGCTATGCGTCGGCACTGAACCCTAACTGCTCTCTAAACATGTACATGTAACTTGTCAGAAAAGAACTGAGATTTCAAGACACTTCACATTGTATGTTATCGTTCTTAAATAAAATTTGTTTCGTTTATTTTTTTTGGGGGGGGGATTCAGCAGCATCTTCCCCATCACCATGTCCGTAGAGCAGCAGCATCAACCACACCCCCTCTTAAGGAGGAACCTCAAGAAACCACAGACTTGATGTCAGCCACGATTGCAGCTGCTCAAGACAGACGAACAGCCTACGGTGAGATCTCGGATGCAATCTGATTTTGTTACTCAGCTGAGTTTCAGTCATGCAAGTAAACTCGGACTCTGCAGTTCTACAAATGGCCATTTTTATCATGCGGTCAAGGTCGGGGGATAGTAGAGACCTAGGATGTTTGTCACATTGTCTGCAGTGAAATGAACTTGTGCAGCGTTGTT